CATGCATAATGCATTATCTTGTGGACCTCTACAGAGATTGTTCAAGTTATCGCCCTGGGGTCAAAATTAGCCCTGCCCTATAGTTAATGTGTTTTCCTTATATGTATATAGTAAAGATTTTATTCTTTTTCTACAAAACTACAGGAGCTACAGCTAGATATTTAGCATGTTACATTGTCTAGTGAACCTCTATTTACAATTTGCAGATTACAGCTTTTGGGTCAAAATTGGTCCTGCAACAGCCGTCAATTCCTTATAATATACTTTAGAGGCTACAGATTATATATTGGGTATGAAACATTTTCTGGTGGACCTGTACAATATTTATTCATATCATAGCCCTTACGTCAACTTTGGCTCCGTCCTGGAGGAACAAAGATATTTCATATATGTATATAAATTAAACTTAAAAAAATCTTCTCTTAAACTATAGGAGCAAAATGCTTAGATTATTTTTACATGAAACATTATCTAGAAGAAATTTTTAAGATTGTTTAAATTGAAGCTCTTGGTTCCCAAATGCTGCCCATTGGGGTCATGGACTTTTCTCATATAATAAATATCCTTCTTGAAACTGCAAGAGCTATATCTTGCGATATTGAACATGAAACATAGTCTTGTGGACCTTAAGATGTTTTCGAATTATAGCCCTGGTGTAAAAATACGCACCTCCCCGGAGGAACATTGATTTTCCTTAAATGTGACTTCTAATATCAACCAATGACTTTCCATAAAAACCATTATCTCCAAAAGCAACCATTGACCCCCCATAGCAACCATACATTTCCAACCAGACACTTTCAACAAGAATCAATGACCTCCATAGCAACCAGTGTCTTTCCATAGCAAGAACGGACTTTTATAGCAACAAGTGACTTACATAGCAACTATAGACATTCCATAGCATCCAAAGACCTTTTTAGCAACCAGTGACAACCATAGCAACCAGTGACTTCCCATAGCAACCAGTGACTTACATTATAGCAACCATTGACTTTCAAAGCAAGCAGTTTCTTTCCATGGCAACCATTGACTTTCGTTAGCAACCAGTGGCTAAAATTGCAACCATTGACTTTCAATAGCAAACAATGACTTCAAAGCAATCATTTTCTTTCCATAGCAACTAGTGAATTCAAAGCAGCCATTGACTTTTTATAGCAAACTATAATTTTCATAGCAACTAGTGACTTCTAAAGGAAACATTGACGAAAATAGTAACAGTGACTTCCATAACAAACATTAAATTTTCATAGCAAGGAGTAAATCTACCACTGAATTTCAAAGAATTTTCTGTCTGATTTTGTATAGCAACCAGTGACTTCTTTTGTAATTTTTTCCCTTAGCAATTAAAAACAACACAATTGTCTACTTGCACTATTTCTGATATAAATATAATCTTTGTGATATCACACCCTGCATACCCAATTACGCAGGAAGGAAACTGCAATTATTTAACGCCGAATCTGTATAACGCTATCGCCAAAACGAATATTAACACAAAGAACAATTTTATTTTCCAAATCAAACTTAAAGAAATGAATTAGCGCATACGGCTGTTACGACATTATACTTTATTCAACATTACAATTTTTTCGGGGATATTTTATCTTTAGATCATTCGTAAGAAAGACAGCATGTTAGCCGTTTTGAAGGTGACTTTTGTAAATGAATATATACATTTTACACATATAAAACATTTTTTTTTTCATATTCTTATACCTTAGACATTTTGTCAAACTTAAAAGTGTCGTATAACTGGTAAAATTGGATTAAGACTTTTAATGAGATAACCGCCGTTGCCTCAATGCTTCATTCATGAATTCGGCGTTACCTGGTAAAAATGGTCTCAATTACGATTTACCTGCTAAATTATTTGAAATATTACAGAGTAGATTGGAAAATGTCACAGGTACACCGAATATGAAAATCATTGAGTGATAGGTATGTTATGTATTTTAAGAAATCAACAAAACTAAAAATAGCCATCAATACGCTAGTCAGGTCGTCATTTTCACGAATGATCTTGAAAAATAAACATTTCTATGGAAATAGTTTTGATGAGGTTTAAAGTATAATGTCTCGGCAACCGTATGCGCATATTGATTTCTCCCAATTTCGTGTACAATAAAAAATGTTTCATTTATTTATCGCTCGTTTTAGCCACAAAATTGCACAATTCTGCGTTTTTTTCATCCTTGCGGCATTTGCTCATTCCTGCAGTACTGGATATACACGATGAAAACGATTAGTATGGATGATTGAATGCCATTTACATATAAGAGATGTTGCACCTATCATTATATCTCATGACTCAATCAAAATAAGTTTGCAATGTTAATCTGATTTTGTATTCTGTACTATTCATTTCCAAATTGTTATTTGCACATTCCTGCGTTACTGGATATTCACGGTGTATCAGTTTAAGATTAAGATTTTATATCTGTTTTCGTATATAGTTTACAATATTACTTGTTACTTGTCATTAAAGGTACATTTAATAAATTTCATAAAAAAAGTAATAGCTTCATTTCGTAAATTAAATGTTTCATATCGACTCCCGTCCTCATTTTGTGTCTAGTTTTATAAGCCATAAATTCTACAACCTCATTGTGGCGAAATCGGAAGAACAATTTCTATTTGCATGAGAAACTCCGCCTTTTGTCATCCGTACATCAGCAGAAAATCAACAAACATTTTTAGTGGCAGTCCAAATTTAACGGTTTATTTCTGCATAATATTACAGATGTTTCATACAAATTCAATCTTTTTTTATGAGATGATTACTTTTTTGTAAACGCCGTGAAACTAAAACGGTAAAGTTTGTTTGCACAAGAATATCTCCTATTTGCTGTGATCCACATGGTTGCAATTGATTTTACCTTTGTTACGTAGCGCATTCACGAGCCAATTATACTGGTCTTCATTTGCATGTTAAAATTTGTATACGAACTTAAGTGTTACTGCGGGTTTTTCCGTTTAAAATAATAACTTATGAACAATTTTTATGAGATTTACACCAATACTGTTAAAAATGTTAACGAAACTATAGAATGCTTGGTTTTAAGCCGACGGATTAATATGTTTCCATGTTTTATTTAATGTAGCTTTAAGAGAATTTATATTCAGGTGAGCGATATTAAGGCCATTATGGCCCTATTGTGCAACAACAACAAAAAACTTGTATTTGCTGTAAAGCCTCCGGCCCATGCAAAGAATATATACAATTACAAACATTTTAATAAAGCATAGCATGTGTATGATATAAGTTTTATTTACAATTCTTGTATGTATCTTTTTCTTTTTTCAAATGCATAATATAAATACATTGCGACAGATTTTATAAGTTCTTCATTTAAGTTGACATGATAATATTAAATTTATTAATATTTGGTTGAGTGAAATATTTCATAGGTATGTATGCTGCACGTAAGTTAGAATGATAATTACAGTTTAACAAGAAATGATATTCATCCTCCACAGCATAAGTATCACATAATTGCATATTCTATTTTCTCTTAGTGTATTATTATATCTCCCCTTTTCAACTTCTAGATCATTACTACCGATTCTAAAATTTACATATGTATACCGAAATTTCCTGAGATTATGAGTATTTATATATTTTTCGAATATAAATTCCCTTTTGAAGGTTTTATATAGTTGAAACTTTGAATTTGTATTTATACTTTTATACCACTCCTGAAGACTTGTATCTTTTAGTCTACTTTCAAAATCTCTCAAAAAATAATTTTCATATTGCACCTCTTTGTCATACCACAAATAGCTTAAACCGTAGTTTTGTCAACATATTTTTACAGATGTGACCCAATGAACATGTCCATAGTAATCATCATTTATCATCATCTTATAACATTTCTTGACAAATCTATTATCTGGCATTTTTAAAATTTAAGTCAGTATTTTAATGCACTTTTATATACAAAGAATATCTGGAACAGTCACAAATACTGCTACATTTGAAGCTTTTTGTTCTTACTTTACTTTACTTTAGCCCTTCGCTCCTCTTGGTGCATAGGCCATCGACGATAGTTCTCCAGCGCTGCCTGTTTGTTGCTATTAGTTCAAGTTGTCCCCATGTCTGTCCTGTCAGCTTGACATCAGATTCCAGGTCCCTTCTCCAGGTGTTTCTTGGTCGTCCCCGTTTTCTCTTTCCTTGGGGTGTCCATGTTAGTGCCTGCCTTGTGATGTTACTTCTCGGCTTCCGTAGGGTATGTCCTAGCCAACCCCACCTTCTTCTCCGAATCTCTTCTTCAACTGGACACTGGTTGGTCCTTCTCCATAATTCCTTATTACTGATGGTTTCAGGCCAGCGGATGGAAAGGATTCGACGAAGACATTGGTTGACAAATGTCTGGATCTTAGGGTTGGTGGCTTTGGTAAATCTCCAGGTTTCTGCACCATACAGGAGGACTGATTTGACATTAGAATTAAAAAGTCGAAGCTTGGTGTTCCTGCTTATGACTCCTGAATTCCAGATGTTTCTTAGCTGGATAAATGCTCCTCTTGCTTTGCCGATTCTGGTCTTGACATCAGCATCTGTACCTCCTTGCTTGTCCACTATACTGCCAAGGTATGTGAATGATTCTATCTCTTCTAGCGGCTCTCCATTTAAATTTATTGGCTCATTTTTGGTGGTATTAACTTTTAGGACCTTGGTCTTTCCTCTGTGAATGTTGAGTCCTATTGAAGCTGATGTGTTAAGCAGTTCTGAGGACTTTTCCTGCATCTGTTGGTGATTGTTTGACAGTAATGCTAAATCATCCGCAAAATCCAAATCGTCCAGTTGCTTCCAGAGTGTCCATTGTATTCCGTTTCTCTTTTCCCTGGTTATGGTCTTCATGAATCCAGTCGATGGCAAGAAGAAACAGAAATGGTGATAGCAAACATCATTGCTTTCACTCCGGTCTTGACTCTGAAGCTCTCTGTCAGTTGCCCCCGTGCACTACTCTGCAGGACATTCCTTCATATGAGTTTTCTGATCAGTTTTTACAAACTTTTTGAGGCACTCCGTAATGTCTAAGCAGTTTCCATAACATCTCTCTGTCCAGACTGTCGATAGCTTTCTCATAATCCACAAAATTTATGTAGAGTGGAGAGTTCCATTCTATGGACTGCTCTATAATGATGCGAAGTGTTGCTATCTGGTCTGTACATGATCGGTCCTTTCTGAAACCTGCCTGCTGGTCTCGCAGTTTTTTGTCAACTGGCCCTTTCAGTTGCTCCAAAATTACTCTGTTGAAGATCTTTGCTGGGACGGACAGTAGTGTGATCCCCCTGTAATTTGAGCATAGTCCCGAGTCTCCTTTCTTTGGCAGCTAGATGAGGGTGTCTTCTATTCTACTCTGTAATGGTATTTCTTCTTCTTCCAAGATCTTGGCAAACATTTGCGTACAAATATCAAAAAATGCGTATTTCATGTTTCAGAAATTTTACGCACGTCAAGACATAACTGGCCATATTCGTGCCAAATGCTATAATAGGCTTAAAAAATGTTAGTAAAACTTTGTTAATTAGAAATGAAAATGAGCCAATTAGAACCTAAAAATACAAGTTTAATCTCTTTAAAATAATAATGTGTTCTGTTGATTGAATTGTATGAAAGAGTTCTGTTTGAGTGAATTTTACACAATAAAAATCTATTACGGGCCTGTGAAAAAAATCTAACATTCAAAGAGAAAATGTTTGACCAGTAGAAATTTTCATAACACAGCTACACAGTGAAAGGGCTTTGCCATTCGTGAGGAGGATTAAAAAGAGTGGGTAGTTTTAGTGTCAAACTGTGTCCAATTGCGGCATCGAAGAAGAAACTGTTTGAGGACATTAGCTCTGACTGAAACTTTTCACTAGTAGCAGACATTTAAAGCGATATCGTTCCAAAAAATCAATAAAAAAACTTGAAAAGGGCGGGGGATTAATTTCCCCTTTAAAATATTTTCCGACAAACATCGTAAACTCCATAAAGAACAAAAAATATGGGGGCTTCTAACCCAAAACTCTGTATATTTTATTCGGTTGTTTCATCAAAAACATATGACCTTAAACACATTTTTGGCTTTAAAAAAATACCTTTTTTAAACCATTTTCCTTTTTTAAAACAAAATTTCTATTATGTCTCAAAAAAAACTTTTTTTAAAACTACAAAACCCCCATATAATTTACGTTTTTTTTTTTTTGAGGGTAGATCAAAATGCTTAAAATAAATGCATTACAATTTTTGAATCCCGGTTTAAACCCGCCTGGTTTTAAAAATTTTTTACAGGGGAAAAAAAATTACAAATTGCAAAAACACAAAAAAAATTTTTAAAAATGAGAAAAAAGAACCCCCTAAAAAAAAACACGGAAAATTGAAAAAGTGAGGCTCGGGTTGATTGAGCCCGTTCATGGCCGTACGGGCAAAATGGAAATTACCGTCATCGCCCCACCACCCCTTAAGCAGAATCAAATTTTAATTAAACTGGGACAATTTGGAATTTTGAAAAACATTTTTCCAGGAAAAAACCCCCGTAGTTTTCATTTTTAACACCCCTTTTTAATTTTTTGTTACAAAATTAAGTCGACCAAATATCGGAATTCACTGAAAGAATATCCTATTGAAAAAACCTACTAAAACATGTGTAAACACTTTTTTCCGTAATAAAAAATTCTGGGGTAATATTACTGGACAACCTCTACCTGAAATACAGAATCAAAATATATGTTTTTTAACTTCACTTTCAATTCTTTGTCGAAATATCTATATTTTTACATTTTTTCATTTTAAATATTTCGTTAAGTACACCCAAAAAACCCCCTTTTAAGCTTTTAAAAAATTTTTACTGCTCTATGACGATTGTATATCTTTTTAGTTTGCCAAAACATTTAGAGTCATTTTTCACCATTGGAAAAATCTTTTTAGCCGTAAAAAAAGCTGGGAAATTTTTTTGTTTTGTGACTCAATATTTTCTTAACGTTTTTAAATTTTTACGTTTTAAATTAAAAATCTTTTTCATACCATTTTCCAGTTGGGAAGTGTCTTGGTAGCATTTTACAAATTTGTCTAAAGGTCTGAAAATTTCCCGCAAAAGAAAAAGTTTTCTTTTTAGAGAATCTTTTGAAGATTCGGGCAAATTCAGTATCAGTTTGATCCCAAAACCAGACCCCGCATTGTAAATTTAAATTTTATAGAAACAAAAGATAATGATCACTGCTGTCTCTTTATTTAGGAGTATTAAAGGGGGCATAGCAAGAAAAACAGCCTTTTTTTTATCCCCAATTATTTTATTGTATGACGTTCACTACGGAAAAAAAAAATGCAAACAATTTATTTTAAAGTAAAATCAAAATGTTGATAAAAAAAATGCGTGAATTATAAACTTTTCCTACAAAAGATGAATGCAATGCCTTTATATAAATATCCGAACGCTTGAAAACGTGAATTTTTTAAGACATGCATAGGAACCCGTATTGTCCCCAATTCCTAAGAAGAAAAACCACGAAACAAATATTTTTTAGTTTAATTTACCCACCAAATATTTTCCTTTGTACCCTATTAAAATATGGCCCAAAATTTTCGTATCCCCAAAAGCTTTCAAAATTATAATAACATGCTAAGTTCAAATTTTTGGTATTCTTTGGATAACGTCTTGATAATATCTTACATTTAAATTTTGCTGATGAATTTCTGCATACCACAAAACAAGCAGTTTTAAATTCATATAAAACATACTCTTTATAGTAAACGGAGATTGAACAGTAGTGATTCGATCTTAGACGGCAAAATAGCAGTATAATAGTTATCTAAGTAGCTTGATATAAATTCGACACATATTATTTATAAACTGATAGTTCCATAACCTTCCAAACTTATTGATAATAAAAGGTTACACTTGATAAATCTAAGCATTACGGTTTTTATTCCTTTTTACGGTTAAAAGGACGTAAATGGTGTAATTTGAATGTAATTAAAAATACAAACTCACTTCCTTTTACCATACGTAGTTTATCTGAAGCAAAAATACATACCAAATAACTGTCCTGAACCTGCAGATAAAAGTCCGTTAACAGTTAACATTGATCCAATAGCAACACTGACTTGTTCCTTTTGCATTGTTTCCATAATGAAAATAATGGACCCAGAAAATATTCCTCCAGAAACAAGGCCAACACAACCAGATGCAACTGCATACGTTAGATAGTTTGTCGAAGCATATATCAACATGTGTCCAACACACCCAGCAAGAGATGACAGTATTAGAAAAATAAAGGGATGAACATCAAACCTACATTTAACAAGACCTGGTGTTATTGTAGCTAGCACATTTAAACAATTCAAAATGACGAACAGTTCCTTGGTTTCCGATTCACGGTATCCTTTCCATTCAGCAATATCAAACGCGTGTTCTAAATATCCGTTCAAACTTGCAAGAGTTAGTCCATTTCCAATTATCAAACATAAAAATGGAATCGAAATTAACAGCTTTAATGTTTCAAATATACTACGAGCTTCCATATACAAACTGGATACCTGAGATGCATTTTCGGCTTTTCTTCGCTTTTGTGATCTATCACTTAACGTTCCTGATCTATGTTGCTGCCATAGAAAAACAAAAAAACAGAACGTATTACAATAGACACCACCTAATATGAGGAATGTCCCGCTTAGTCCGTACGATTTAACTAACCATTTCAAAAAGTAAGGGTAAATAATTCCGGCGATTGATCCCCATGTGGAATGAATTGTAGCACAAATAACACGTTGTTTCTCGTTGTCGGCAAATATTCGGCTGACAGAAATTACAGCACTGACATGAGACAACGATATCCCAATACCTTGATTATAAAAAAGAGAAAAACTGAATCTCATACACAATAAACAAAAACAAACAAGCAAATAACAATTAAAAACTGCCCTATATAACTGTGTGTATCCAGTAACGCTGGAATGTGAAATAAGTGCAATAAGTAACGCAGAATTGTGCAATAAATGGCGGATAGCTGACAGGATTTCCATCCAACGCGGTAAGTACATTGGCCAATATATATTTTTAATTTAACAGAACTGAAAAAAGGAATAGCCACATATGGCTGCAAAGACATTATTCTTTATCCCCAATCTAGGTTATTTCCACGAAATTGCTTTCTTTTCAAGATCATTCGTGAAAATGATGGCTTGGTGCCCTACTTGGGTGTGTCGGGGGTGGGGCTGCGTCCTATGAAAGTTGCCTGTGCTTTGTTGATCTTTATTCTTGTCTTTTGAACACCTTTTTAATCGTAATGTTGACTTTTTATCGACTCTTACAAGTCCAGCATTGCATATTATACCGTACTATTTTGATGTTTGGTAGACAAGGGACATTTTCTAAACTTCTCTGACATAGAAAATTGAAAATAAGCTGATAAAAAGTGGTTCAAGTCGTTTTTATGAGGTAACGCCGATGTTCGTGAAAAGTGCTTCGCGGTAAGGCCAAAAAACATGACCTTTTACATATACGGTACTGAATTGTCACACAGATTTAACGCCCTTAATCGGCGAGTATAAACACTTTTCAAATATATATTTTGTTGGGAAGCTTTAATTCATTTTATTCAGAATTTATTTTAGTTTGATTGCGTAGACAATATAGACACTGTCTCGAACCACAGAGCTATAAGCTTCATAATATAAGTCTTTGTTGAAGTGAGTACGAAGTAATGCGTTTAAGAACGCAATAAAACAACGGGGTAGCGATCGGGTAGCAATTTCATAATATTTATTGAGATGATGCATGTAGTTATGAAAATTGGCTTTGTTAATTACAGATTAACATTGTTCTTACAAATAAATTACATAGTAAACACGGAGAAGTCTACTTTTAGACCTTCATGACATGAATTGATAAAATTTTCAACAAACACATCTATAGTAGCATCTCAATAAACATGCACATTGAGAAAGTAACCAAAATTTAATCTGTCTTTAGTCTATTTCACCTTGACCTGTTGAATTTATAAAATGGTTTGCTCTGCTGTGAACTTGAAACAATTTCATTCAAAGTATGAGTATATGCATTTGTACAAATGAGCTATCTGAGTGAGTAAATGGTCAGTCTGTATGAATGTGACCTTGCTCTGTACTTGTGGCCTCTTTTAGAGTCATTAGTCCTGTTAGTTTTGCAAACGTATATAATAATGCTTGGAATAAGGTCTTATAAATTCATATGTTTTTTTCCCATACAAGTCAACATATAATAAGAAACCTCAACAGTGGGGTAAAGCTTTACCCCAAGGGTTATATTTTATTTAAGTTTAGTAGATGACAATAAGGTTGTACTAGTTTTACAAGTTTTGGGCATCACAGTTTCTAAGTAAAATATCTCTTAAATAAAAGTTACTTTATTATATTTATAAAAGTCGACAAAATATCAACACCAAGTCATCATTTTCACGAATGATCTTGATAAGTAGGCAATTTCACGGAAATGATCTTGATGAATGATAAAGAATAATGTCTTCGCAGTCGTATGCGGCTTTTCCTTCTTTCAGTTCGGTTAAATAAAAAAAAAATTGGCCTGTTTACTTACCGCGTTTGAAATCCTGTCAGGTATCCGCCACTTATTGCACAACTCTTCGTTACTTATTGCACGAATCGTGCGTTATTTTCACATTCCGGCGTTACTGGATATATACGGTGTAAATGTGAAAATTGAAAATGACTCAAAAAGGTAATATCATGTATATTATGTTATACTGTAATATGTTTTATATTGATATCGTGTAATTGTATAAAATTTATTCTTTTTTGTTATTCCTAAAATAATTTCAATTACTGTTGTAAATGAGTTGAAGAATAATGATGCATCACTATATAAAACGGCGTGTCGAAGTTTACTTTTTTAATATATAGAAATAAACTAAAGTCCTTTCATTTATTTCGATTGTGGAAAACATTGCCTTCCAACTTAAACATAATAATAACATAATGAAAATACAACAGTTCGACCTTTTCTTGCTTTAATCAACAATTAAAAGCAAAGCACTAATTAAATTATACCTGCTATAACGCCGATAGTGATGTAAAGGTGGTAGATATCTGTTACAAAATATGACATTGCAAATCCAAGTGGAACGAGCAAACTCGAAACAAATGTCGTCTTTGATAAACCAAATTTATTGATAAGAACTCCACTTATAACTCCTGAAAACAAAACGAATAAGATATGTTTGGCGGCTTATTATTTCCAAGAATTTCGCATCTATTGAAAGTGCAATTTTTATAAGCATGCCTATATTTAACAATGGGTTTGTATTATACCAAATTTCTTAATACCAATTGTCTATAAATCAAAGCATATATTTCATGCCAATGTTTTCTTACTTTATCATTTTACAAATGATGACAACATTTTTAGATGGTAGATAAGACTTGTAACCAGACCAGGGGGCCGAACGTATCAAGGTTTCTTACTTTTTAAAGCGAGGTGAAATGGTACGATAAGGAAAAATGGCGGAGGAAAGTGACAAATAACGTGAGAAACACCGGTTTGTTTTTAATATTTCTTGTACGTTATAATTTTGTTCAACAATATAGTACATGCGGAGTAGAAGTAATAATTACATATAGTGATCAAAATAAAGAATATATAACATAGTAAGGAGATTATAGAAGCATTTGTTTCTTCAAATGCCACCGGTAAAAAATGACATACTGATAAAAATAATATTACAACAGATATATTGGAACAGATATTTCATAAGATATAGCGCCAACATGTATACTAATTAAAAGCAAAAGTACATGCACGAAAAGTTCTTACTATCTATTGTGCATATATTTACACTATTTTCGTATTTCTTACTGTACGCATCAAATATCTGAACGCAACAATTTTGGTTTCATACGAAACACTTACCTGACAGACTGATACCTGTTTCCTGTGCTTTGGCAATAAGTTACTGGTAAGGTGAAAAACAGTTTCATTAAATGAGCATTTAGCTAGCTACATCATACTAAAATGCTTATGCACATAACATTCGAAAAGGACAGAAAGTCTTCCATGCTCTGAGACAATGGACTATGAAATTACCTCTTTGGTAGACTATTTTAATCGGCATGTGTTTTCTTTCAGTAGAACAGTTGTTGTGTGAGTGTTTGTTTGTTTGTGTGCGTGCATGCATGCGTGCTTATGTGAAAACATAGCTTAGTTCTAGACATAGCTTCATATACCTGTGTGATATGTCTTATTTAACAAAGGATCCGTTGGAAGACCAACATCTCGTGAATATGCTGCTATATACATATGTACCCGTATTATGGATTTTTTTTGTATGTGAAAAAGAATGATATTTAGCAGCTAAGGGCATATTTAACTTAGGAATTTCACAAGACAGCCAGACATTGAGAGAAAACCCCGTTATTACATATAAAAACAAAAGCGCCAACAAGAGGTTTTACAGTTTTTTTACTTTTCAACAATTGTAGATAATGAAATATTCAAATTACAATGTATATTAAAACAATTGGATTTGTGGCATCACGAATTGTACATTCGAACTGCAAACTATCCAAATCGATATACACATTTTAGCGTCCTGGTATTCAATTTCACAATTGTTTGAGATGTTCGTTTAAAACTGATTATAAAAACTATCAAGGTCTTTCCTTATATGAACTTAGTAGCAGGCCATTGCTTTGTCCTAAAACTAACAAAGGCAGTATCTGTCTTTCCTCAATTTAATAACGGACAACATTCCCATTGACGGTTACTTTCTTCAAACTGCCTTTATTTTCTTCTCTTTACCTGATGCTCTGATATCAAGTTCATTGATTCTGAAATATTTTATAAAATTCAAATCATTTTTGTTAAGAGGAATAAAAACTCAGTTATGATAAACAGTTTACCTAATAAATGGATGAAAACGTTCAAGAGTCAGACATGAACAATGGGAGTGAAATATAGATTGTCAAATGAAATTTCTGTGTTTTGCACTTTGATAAACTGCATAGAATTTGAAATAATTTTCTAAAGTAATAAAATAGAAAGGAGAGAAAATCTAAAGTGAAAAACTTACCACAAAATATAAGATCAAAGGGAAAACATTTTTTGAATAAAGGTGACATAATTATGTGAGTATGGAACGCCGTTTAAAACGCCTTCATGATCTTATATTTCATATTTTACAAGAATGATTAAGGTAAATTTATACCGCCAGCAATAAAAATCAAAGGGCTGCAAGCTCTGTGGTATTTTCTGATCTTTGCAATCTAAATCATACTGATTATCTGTATGTATTTTCCTATATAAGTTTATTTTTATATACTATAATTCATCTTACGCAGCGACTGCGTTATGATTTTTTTCCTATAACAGTTTGAGATTGATACATGTATATGGAATTTTGCATGACTAGAGTTGCATCAAAAATCATTTTTTATGACAGCCACACTTTATCCTTGCATATCGTGGCTACTTCCTTAAAACAGACACTTAAAAAAAGTTGCCTCAACTAGGATTTGAACCTTAGGCCTCACACACCCTAAACGAGCGCGATACCCCTGCACCACGGTGAAGTAATACGTAATAAGTAGCCTGAGTAAAAACAAATACATTGTAATTCTAAATTGAGAATTTCCATTTCGTGTTTGTAAAGTCTCTGTTTCGTTTTGGGAGACCTATTGGCACACATTTATAGTATCCCGTATTTCAACTAGACCACAGATCTTTGATTTTTCTAAAGGAAAGGTCAGAAGAAGTTGTCTAGGTTTAGAAGTACTAATCAACTCCACTTTCGTATCTCAATATCTAATGCTATTTTTCACTATATGAAAATGTGTTATTTCTATCTACATTATACAAAAGAAATATTTTTTCCTCTTTGGGTCTATGATATAGCCTGTCGCTATTTAAATATTGTAAGATCGTGTGGGAACTGTGGCCTCCGACACCTTTGTAAAGGACTCACCGTAAAGTCGGGGGTACTCCTGTCTCCCGACCGCCATTGGGAAGTCGAGGGACAGGAGTGCACCTGGCACGGCCTGGGGCGCGTTTCATCGCAGTAAGACCTTATTGGAGCTTCCATGCCCCAGGTCGTGCTCTGATTGATTTCAGGTCCACGATAGAGTAGACGGAGACCCCAGTTCCCGCCGATCAGAAAGTTTTTTCTAAATCATATTCAAATTCACTCTGCATAACTAAACACTTCAATATTACCTAACACTTTAATTAAAGGGAAGTAAATGCAACGACATCTACGTACAAAGCTATTTTTGTTATCTCCCCTCATCTACTATTCGCATCTCTATACCATACCTTTTTAGACCTTAAAAATGATTCGTATGGTTACTTAAATTTTTGTAGTATATTCATTTACGTTAAAAATATTGATTATCGTTTCGACAATTGAGCAGTAATCGTCAATTTAATACTACACATTGTTGAAATAGAAAGTATACATATGTGTGTGTGTGTGTGTGTGCGCGTGTGTGCGCGTGTGCGTGTGCGTGTGACGAGAAAAAATGAAACAATACCTTTGAATGTAATACTAGCTTTCTTTATTATTTAATATGTTTTAGTAATATATATACACAACAGTCTTGGCTCTCGGAGTCTCCACGTACCTAAAAACTGGAAGCACAATTCTATTATATTTTTCGCTAGTACTAGTATGTTAATTAACTGTTATTTGAGCCTCATTACACTTTATTCATGTTTATTACTCCATTATGTCATGTTTGTACATGGAATGAGAGAATAAAATGTTTTTTGACTTTGACTTGACTTGTAATCCTTATCAATTTCGAGGTATTTTGTTCACGATAAACCTGTTTAACACTGATAAAAATAATTTAGCGAAACTCTTCTCGCTAAAACAGACCGACATGTATATATTCCTCTACTCGGCAGTCAGATTTATTTGTGTACTACGCCCTGGAGTATTCAGTAATCGACATAGCTAAAAATAGCATTTTCATTGATTAAAATGATATTCATCCGCGAAATTTGTGATTGTAACCTCATATTTCTATTGACTAATCTGAACTTTCAATGCACTGTAATTCGTTAAATGCCTACATTAAAAATTATTCTGTCTTTTAAATTGCTGGTTTTTAAGCAGTTTTGAGTGAGAACTACTTTGCGTTGTTAGGTCTGTTAGGAAATTTTGTGTTAGACCGTGGATGTTAGCTATGTATTTACTGATCTTGCGATCAGAAAATACAAAAAAACAGGACAAACGCCGATAGTATTTAAGCAAGATCCTAGATCATTTATGGTTTATAGTTTTAAGTAGTTATTAACACTGTAAAAATTACCAAACCTTTGGAAGCATGCAGTTATCTTGTCATACCAAAATCCATCGTACACATATATTTGGACAGCAAGATGTCAATACATATCTTTGCACTAAAGTATTTGCTGTGCAACTCAATAATGAGTGTCAAACACAAGAGGGCCAAGATGGCCCTAGATCGCTCACCTGACCCATTCAACTCATCCGAGCAATTACCTTGAAAAGCATCCAGACCAAGTTACATGACAATTGAGTAAAACATGTGACCACTACATTTTTTCATATTTGGGCGGTGTGACCTTGTTTTTTAATCCCGGGTGACCCATATACGAACTTGACCTGGAAATCATCAAAACAAACTATCAGACCAATTTCAAGGATATTTGGATCAAAAGGGTTGCCACTAGTGTTAACAAGATTTTCTATTTTTGGCTCCTGTGACCTAGTTTTTAATCAAATATGACCAATGTTCGATCTCATCCAAAAAAATACCTAAGCAAGCATTTTGACCAAGTTTGATGACAATTGAGTCAAAAATGTGACCAACAGACAATTCACATTGTTTTTTCATATTTGGGCGGTGTGACCTAGTTTTTGACCCAAGGTGACCCACTTTCGAACTTGATCTAGAAAATCATCAAAACCAACTTAAAGACCCATTTCCATGATATTTGGATAAAAACAGTAGCTTCTACAGTGTTAACTTTTTTTCTACTTTTAGCTCATGTGACTTAGTTTTTCATCCGAGATGTCCAATGTTCAAAACTCATCCAAGCAGTAACCCAGACAAGCATCTTGACACAGTTTGATGACGATTGAGTCCAAATTGTGACCATTAGTGTGTTAACAATTTTTTTTTCATATTTGGGCGGTGTGACCCAGTTTTTTTATTCCAGATGACCCATATTAAAATTTGAGCTAGAAGTAATCGAAACAAAATTTCAAACCAATGTCAAGATATTTGGATCAAAACAGAAGCCACTAGAATTTTAACAAGTTTTTTTTAAATCTTTTTAGCTCCTGTGACAAAGATTTTCATTCGAGATGACTCATGTTCGAATTCATCCGAGCAATTACCTAGACAAGCATCCTGACCAAGTTTAATGACAATTGAGTCAAACATGTGTCAATTAGAGTGTTTACAAGGTTTTTCCATATTTTGGCGGTTTGGCGTAGTTTTTGACCCAAAGTGACCCATATTCAAACTTGTCCAAGAAGCGTCGAAACACAAACTTTCAGACCAATTTCAAGGATATTTGGATCAAACCAGTAGCCACTTGAGTGTTCACAAGATATTTCTCTTTTAAGATCTTGTGACCTAGTTATTCATCCGAGATAAACAATGTTCAAACTTAACCGAGCAATTAAGTAGACAATCCACTTGCTAAAGTTTTGTGACGATTGAGTCAAAAATGTGACCACTAGAGTGTTAACAAGGTTTTTACATATTTGGGCGGTGTGACCTTATTTTTGACCCAAGGTGACCCGTATTCGAACTTGATCTAGAAGTCATCGAAATAAACTTTCAAAATAATGACCAGGTTATTAGGATCAAAACAGTTGCTGCAAGAGTGTTAACAAGATTTTTCTATTTTTAGCTCCTATGACCCAGTTTTTTCATCCGAGATGACCCATGTTCGAACTCATCCGAGCAATTCGGTAGATAATTAGCTTGACAAAATTTGATAATGAGGCAAGAATGTGACCGCTAGAGTGTTAACGAACAAATGTGGACGGACGACGGCTTTTCAACGATTCTAAAAGCTCACCCGGAGCAAGCTCAGGTGAGCTAAAATTAAAGTAGAAAAGCATTCTCGATATGGACGTTGATCTTATACTTCTTTACCGACACAAAATCAGTAATGACAATTTACCTTCTACTGAATCTAAACTTTTATGATATCGGGGAAAAATGTGTAGGTCAGAGCCCTAAATGATCCACATAAAAATTTGCAATTTCAAGAGTAAATTACTCTAACATTTTTTATAAAATCAACTCACTCTGACCTGTGTTTACATTCTAAAATTCGCCAGTACTCCGTTTCGTAACATTTCACCTCACTTAAAAAGTATCGAACCTCTATACGTACGAACGCCTGCAGACATAAACAATAATAAATATAAATAAAAATGTATTTGAAGATATCTAAAAGTATGAAACTGGTGGAAAAGGTACGACATTGGGTCATTTAAAGTAAGACATCATATCCAAACCAAATTACCTTTTTAAAATATTTTTTATGTTTTTATCAAATATTCTATCATATCTGAAATAATTTAAACTACACGTTTCAATTAGAATTTCATTCTATAACTTGAAACTATACTTAATAATACAATTTTATATTTGACTTTTTCTTTTCTAAAATGTGTAAACCTGTTATTATTTCCCTAGTGGTAGATAAAACTGGCAAAGTGTTTGGACTTTATATATATTAAAGATCCTGTATGTTGTAATTAAGGACGTAAAGAATTTTTATATATGAATAAAATAATTCTTCTAAAACAATTTACAAACATCCAAGAATATGTTAAATATGTACTGCAACTTTGGATACGCATAATAAGTAATCATTAAAATATATGCATTCATTTATTGAATAATTAGGCTAAGACTTTACCGAACATAAAATTCTAATTACCTCTCTTTATTCACATGAAATGTAAATTCGGTAATATCTTTACAAATAACTTTTTGGAACTTACAATATTGATAAATCTTCTTTTTAGCACCAAGTTTATGATATAAAACCATAAGAAATTGAGTTACAGGATCTTTAACACATGATATTTTCTCACCGAAACTTAGGCTAACTCCTATTAGCAATGATTGTACGGTAGCGGCTGTTGATCTGTCTGCCTGATACGTATTCATCATTTCAACAAATACAGCACCAAAAGAAAATGTAAGACTGAACAGCATTCCTGATACCATACATGCTAATGCTAGACATATCCACTTGCTGGAACTTATAAACAAGAAACATGGCAATGCCATGAAACCAGGTTTTCAATTATCACCATTGTAGATAAATATGTTGTATTTGAAATACAAATACAAGCAACAAACAATGTAACTATGTGCAATGTAAAACATGAATAATGTAGGAGGAATTGCCACAGAGGAAGTGTTCACTATAATTATATTCTGTATAAGGAAAAAAAACAAAGGGCCATAATTAAATAAAAAATTATTCAATCACAAAACCCCGACAATATGCGCCAGGGCACTGGATGACAAAGCTACTGTGAAAGTTTGAACAAAATCCGTTGAGAAATGTAGGAGTTCAGCACAGAAATTTTTTTTCACTATATATTCTGTATAAGGTAAAACAAGTTACAAAGTAGACATGAAATAATATATCATATCTTTTTTAAATTACCTCCAAAGATGATATGACCTTTGACTGCCAAATCAAGTTAAAATCATGTAAACAGGATTTTCAATGTTAATGTCACTGTGACCTTGACCTTGGAGCAAGCCATGCGGAACATGCGTTCTGCACGTCATCTTGATGTGGTAAACATTTGTCTGAAGTTTCATCAAAATTCTTCAAAGGGTTGAAGAGTTACAGAGCGGACAGGATTTTCAATGTTAATGTCACTGTGACCTTGACCTTGGAGCCAGCCATGCGGAACATGCGTTCTGCACGTCATCTTGATGTGGTAAACATTTGTCTGAAGTTTCATCAAAATTCTTCAAAGGGTTGAAGAGTTACAGAGCGGACACAATTTCGTTTGACGCCCGCCCGCCCATCCGCCCGCCATACCCCAATCTAATAACCAGGATTTTCAAAATTGAAAACCTGGTTAAAAAACAACACATTTACAATGAACTAAACATAATATCATTTTCAAATCTCAAAGAATTAATATGTGACGTAATAATAAAACAAATTGCCTCAAATCGGCATTCTAGACTGTAGTAAGTTTTGTTTCTCTGGGGTTAAGGACGCTGTTTTAACATGTACACTTGTTTTGTCGGTGCTTTTAGGTACTTGACCAGTACTAGCATTTTCCCCCGAAAATGATCGTAAGTGGTATAAGGTGTAGATAGGTAGACATTTCATTTTCTTTTCGTTTGCTTATTAATCATTTGACCATGATGAGCATGTACTTACAGCTATTTCAATTGAAAATATAGATCTGTTTACAAGCAAAAGCAGTACAAAAAACATAACTCTGTTTTGCCCATTTTTTTAATTATCTCCCCTTTTAAAAATAATCTTGTCCGGGAAATAACTCTAAAATTACAAGAGATATCAACATGAAACTTTGTAGGTAGATGGATCTCAATGGGTAGATGTGTAGTGCACAAGAACTTCAACTCCGCCTTGCCAAATTTTGTACTAATTGCCCTTTGTTCATTTTTACATTTTGAAGTTGTCCGGGACATTACTAGGAAACCATAAGAGATATTAAGAAACTTTGTAGGTTGATAGATCGCAGTGCAAAGAACAATTACTCTGCCTTGCCTAATTTAGGAATTATTGCACTTTGAACTTTTTCCAGGGACATAACTCTGAAACTACAAGAGGTGTACTTTCCTGTGTCCAAAACCTATTCGGGGAGCATCACCCGGCTCAAACCGGGCTCTTGTTTTTTGCCATTTTCTTTTGTTTTATTTTATCACGTGACATTTAAGCGGGAAAATGACTACAAATTAGAGCAGTGATACTCTGTTGAAGGATGGATATAATTATTTATAAGTTTAAAATAAAATATATGTGATAAAATTAATAATTAAAAGCATATAAAAGAAATGTGTGTTTTATTTGTTGTTAAAATCACATGAAAGTATTATAAAAAAAACGTTTATTCGATTTAAAAGCGACAGCAACTCACCACATCTTTGTCACACATTAACACTCTTAAGGTACCTAATTTCATCATGTGTATGCACTGACCAATTACGTTTTAATACTACACAAAATCGTACGTAGCATTATTTTCGAAATAAATTCTCTGTTTAGTGTAATAGAACGTTCATTTTCCTATTTAATGCATGTAGTTAATTAATATTTCTGTGACAGAGTCCTATTTTTAAGACTTGGTGTAAGGGACATTACTCATTATTTTCCAAAGGGTGACAAATCCGCCGGTCTTGTCAGATATTTTCAAATGGAGATTACTTTATTAGTTTTATATCATTTTATCTCATGTTTTTATGATTGGATCTGGATAATTGATTTTATGTCATGTGATTTCTTGGTGGTAAAAGTCATTGACTCTTTGTTTTTTTTTTGAAGAAGAGATGATGTAAATGTTTTACGGGCATGTTCTTACGGGATCATTGATGCCAACACTATAAAGTGTTGAGAATTGAGTACCGCTCAAGCCGGTGCTAGGGGGCGTGAGGGATGTTGCACTTATTCATTATCCCTCATGTACAGACTCAATCAAACCGAGTCTGCAATTCTTATGTTATTTTGTTGTGATACATGCTTCCGAGGGATCACTTTGTTTCCAGAATTTTTTTTTTCTTAATTTCTAGTTTGTATTTATTAAATATTACTATTTCTCCTGAATGTTTCAAAATGCTTAATCGGATAATTGAAAATTGCATAATTGTAATTCTGTTCTATTTTAGTCCATAAATTAATTGTGAAAATTGTTAATAAGAACGAATTCCAGAATGTCTTTTATCTATCGAGTCACCTACATTCTCTTGCAACATTATTATTTATCCTTGCAGTTAACAGTCAAATTACGAGGTGTAGTTATATTTGATTTACGTACTTCACTTATTCCTTAGAATGTAATGTATTGTCCTGTATTGCCCTGTCCTTTTTATGTTTGGGGTCCGCCTGGGCTCCTTGCCATTGGTTCTTGTTGCTGGGTCATATGGGGGTTGCGTTCATTGAACGCCGCCTTTCCTTGTTGATCTTGTTTATCATATTTTGTGTATTGTATATAATGTAAAATGTGTTAAATTCGTTTAATTCCACATTTATATGTAGCTTAAATGGCTGATAGGCCTGTGAACCGCCGTATGAACACAACACATCTGCGGATGTTTCTAAATTCAAAATTTTACTATTTCATGTTTAAATGTTGAATTCTGCTTAAGCCGGTGCTAGGGGGCGTGGACGGTAACTTGCACTTTCCAGTACCGTCCATGAACAGGCTCAAACCGAGCCTGCAACATTTACAATTTTACCGTGTTGGGTTTTCTTTAGGGATTCTGTATTTATCTATTTTGCTATATATAAATGGCTGATTGACCTGTGAGGACCTTTGATAAACCTAAATGGATGATTGGCCTGTTGGGTGGTTCCAATATTCCTACTTGAATAATGTTGAATCACCCTTAGGATATGTTGCCTGCTTTTTAAATTTGTCTTTTGACGTCTTATCTGTGATACGCAGGCTTCATAACCTCTGATCCCCTTTCAAAATTCCATTTTATTTAGTTCCGCCCATTGTTTTCTCGTTTAGGGCACACGCTTTTTATTACTTGGGGACCATACGCCGCTTTTCATGGAATGGCACTACTGTGTCACATTGAAGGTTCCATGATAACCGCCGTATGAACACATCTGCGGATGTTTCTAAATTCAAAATTTTACTATTTCACGTTTAAATGTTGAATTCTGCTTAAGCCGGTGCTAGGGGGCGTGGACGGTAACTTGCACTTTCCAGTACCGTCCATGAACAGGCTCAATCAAACCGAGCCTGCAACATTTTCAATTTTGCCGTGTTGGGCTTTCTTTAGGGATTCTGTATTTATCTATCTGTGAGGACTTTTGCTAAAATTAAATGGCTGATTGGCCTTTGAGAATTTTTGTTAAACTTAAATGACTGATTCGCCTGTGAGAACTTTTGCTAAACTTAAATTGCTGTTTGGCCTGTAAGGACTTTTGTTAAACTCAAGGCGGTGCTTGGGGGCGTGAGGGATGTTGCACCTTACATTATCCCTCTTGTACAAACTGTGAAGATAACACATTGATAACAACAATTAATGTAAGGCATTTTTCCTTCCTTATTTTTCTGTATATTTGCATATTGTTATATATGTATTTCATATCTACTGTTATTATGTAACGACCTTTTCAAGATGGATATAAATATTACTGCACTTTAAAGCTGTTGAACAATCCCATATCTACGGAAGCCCATTGAGGCCGTTTTGAGGATAGAACTTATATGTCAACAAATCTTAGAACTTAGATCTTTATCTACGATGAGGGACACAAGCGTCAAAACTAATACATGTTGCCTATGTTTGTGTAATTGTGTAATTCCCCAGTTGTCAAAATTGGAACTGTATTTAAAATTATGTGTCTGTTACTTTTAATTAAATAATTGAAACATGTCTTTTTTCTAATGTGTATTAAAATAATTAAAATAATATTTTTCCCTTTGTATAATTTTCTTTTTCTCTTTTCGGAGGACGAAAACAGTCTTTAAATGGGCACAACGGTTTCGAATGTGGGTGTTATTACAGCAGTATTAAGCGTTGCAATTACAGATTTAGCTGTCATTTTAAAAGGGGCGCATTTAACAAGACTTGATCTGATTTACTTTATGTGGCATGAAAATGGTTACGGTAAGTTCAAGTATTGTTCATTCTGCATCTACGGAGCTATCTGTACAGTCGACTCATGTTAAGAACGCTACAACCTTACGTTACGACTTCCAGAATATAACTGGTGTGCGTGTAAGCACATAAACCGTTAGATAAACAGGTTGCATGATACTGGGTTTAGGTCACGAAAGCCAGCAATTCGCATTCCTTTGACACAACACCATATTGAAGAGCGTTTGCAATGTTGCATGGACAGTTAATGATTGAACACCGGTCCTCTTCACTGATGAGTCAAGATTTTCTGTGGACTTTACGGACAGACGGCTTAAAACGGACCTACACATCATTGAAAACGGTACACTGACGTACGCTGGTGCAGTCGGCCCTGATTTAATTCTTATGGATGACGACGCCCGTGAACACAGAGCCCACATCACAAAA